AAGGGTTTTTCACTACAGATGTATAGAAACTTCATATTTAGAGGCAATATATTTGAATACCAAATGCTGGGAACAGAATGGAAACACTCTTGCCTTATTTATGGTGTTTGAAAAATGTGCAGGTAATCTTTGCCTTACAACCACAACTGAGTCCAAAATTTCTGTTGCCAAGCAAGACAGTTGTTAAGTGAATTTTGCTCCATTTTTACAACCTTTCTTTGCCACCATTGTTAAGTGAATCACTGCAGTTGTTAAGCTAGTTCTTAACAACAACACAGTTCTTAAGTGAATCTGGCTTCCCAATTGACTTTGCTGGGACAGTGCAATTGTCATAAATACAGGCCAGTTCTCAAGTGTCTTAATTTTGATCACATGACCATGGGGATGCTGCAATGGTCACAAGGGTGAAAAATGGTCATACGTCAGTTTTCTCGGTGCCACTGTAACTTTGGGCACTAAATGAATGGTTGTAAGTCAAGGACTACTGCATGTTGGATTAGAAAGACTCCTGGTCTCAGGCAAGAAGCTTTCTGTTCACGGCCGCCCTGTCTTCTGGATACTTTGGTTTTGTCTCATCTACATCGGTGCAACTATTTTCAAAAGAGTTAATGAAATGTAGTAGAAATTCTTACATACCTTCAGTAGAAATGTGGGTATATAATGAAAGAGGAAGTGAGAGCATGTTTTGAATAAAGATAAGGGCACATCTAGGAATTTTCAGTTACTTATAGTCATGTTATTAATTTTCCGACATTATCATATTTTTTAATCCCAGGTGAAGACATAATGTAGTTGCAAATACTTCTGTATCAATCTGAGACTTAGCTAAATCATATCTACCAGTCCTTTGTGCAGCATTTCACCGTCATTCATTCAGAGATACTGAAACTGAATAGACTGGTTCAATTTTCAATTTGCCAAACAGCAGCCGCCTCCTGATCCTACACTGCAGGTTTTCTGCTAGTTTCTTTTCTATTTCAATATACAAAAAGACTATAGGTAGAATAAAATATGCTGCTCGGTGGACCAACACTTGTATTATGAGAGCTTCTTCGTGCATTGGTGATGGAAAGAGAAAGGGTACAAATCATCCCACTGAAGATGAATTCAGTTTGAGATGAATCTGAAGAAAAGAAATGGCTGATAAAACTCCTGGTGTGCAAGAAATATTTGTTGGCAGCTTTCTTTAATGTCAACACTTTTGTGATGCTTAAGGTTAATGAGACTGTCAACATGATTGTCTGCAAATCCACATATCAAAGCAGGAACCCCATGTTTTTGATGCTGCTTATTACTGCCTTAGATCCCAGTGCCCTTCATGATGCTTTAAAGGTTACAACTAATTCAGAATCCTTTTTTAGCAAAATGATTAATTGCTTTGAGTTCATCTGTGCGCCTCTTTTTTAAAATTATTTTTTCAGGTAATATGAGAAATGCTTCCTCTCTACTCCTGGCCATGATTTTAAGGATAACTTGCTGACTATACCCACATGCTAAGTCTATGTGAAAGGCCAAATCATAACAAGGGTGAACTGGAGAAAAACAAGGCCTCAATATATTTCAAATTATTGTGACTAATGTTTCCTGTAAGCCAGCTCCTTATTTACATAATAGAATGCGGGCTACATTTGCAAAGCCTTTCTCAGGCAGAATTTTAGCATCTCTTTCAAAGCCATGAAAGCACTTTGAATGTGAATTGGATGCTTCTTAATACTAACTGGATCTTTTTGATGCAGTATTACAATCAGGTCTCACAGCTCTGCACTCCACATATGCCCAAGTAATGTCATTTCCTTACAATCAAATAGTAGAATATATAACTCTACTAAGATATCTAGAAAACTGATATATTCACACACATACACCCAATAATTGTTTCCTGTATATTTGTGTTATTTTAATTTTATTATCTTGCTGCCACTGAGGTTGTTTAACCAAGTAGAAAGTTAAGGTCTTTTTCTGCCCCCAAATAAAATTACAGCAGCATGCACGGCAAGTGTAGTTACATTTGTGTATTTGAAAAGAGATGCTTGCTGCTGTAAGTGCAACTGCAGAAAGAACTAATTCAATTCAATTATATTTTTAGACTTTCAGTGTGACGTGGCAAAATGTGAGATCTGCCGTGAGCAACCTCTTAAAGAGATCATGTTTGGATGTATAGCCGGGGAACCCAGGGAAGCATTCTTGGGCAGTAGCCTTCCAGCCTGTCATGGGAACATTCTCCCTTTGGAACCTTTCCATAGCCAGTCCACTGTTTCTCAGCTTTAAGATTTATGGACTTCAACTCCCAGAATTCCTTGGCCAACATGGCCGGCCAAGGAATTTGGAAAGCTAAGTCCATTCATCTTAAAGTTGAGAAACACTGCAATAACCCATTGCTTTTCAAAATGTGACCAGATCATCCTGTTCTATCTGCCCTTTGAAAGTTCTGCTTCAGCTAATAGAGAAATGGGTCAAAGTTTGCATGTAGACAAATTTTACTTTATGAAGTAAAATCTCAGGTATTTTAAAATTTCTCAAATGTGAGCCTTATACAATGATCGGTAATTCTCTAAAATGGAAATAAACAGACACATAAATATTCTACTCCTAAATTAGGCTCTTTCCCAATATTTACTTTTGAGAGGTCACAACTTTTAGGATGAGGTGTATATCTCAGTAATAGAGAACCCCTCCACAGAAGACTTCAAGTTTAATGTTGGCATCTACCTTTCTTCAAGGTATACGCAACTGATTTAAAACATTATATTGACTGCATTAAAATTATGCAAAATGTGTTATGCTAGTAATCTTTTTGATATGCTGAAATAGCATAACTCCTCCATCTGATTCATTCCCCATTACATCTTTTTTCTCTTGTGCAACATGTATAATCAAAGTTTAAGGGATCTTAATGTTTTAATGTTATTGTATTGATTTTTGCTAAATAATAAACATCTTTCCATAGCTATTTTTTGTTTAAACTTGGAATAACTTGTAGTTATAGACAGAAGTTAATATTGGTAATAAAACTAGTCAATAATGATCAAGCCCTGTTCCACCAAATGTGATTAATGAATTGATGAAAAAAATACAGACAGTATGTGGAACTTATTTGCCGATTCCATCTTCTAAAATGTTGCTCATTTTGATGACAAGGTATCACTGTAAGCACAGGCATGAAACATTTCAGTTCTAATTCTAGATATCCTACCTATCATTTGACTGCACGGATTGCTTTAAAAATGTACCTGTCCCTGATAATGGGGGAATGAAGTTGAATTGTGGAATTGCTCCTTAATAGCTGAAACTTTTAGCAACACATTTTTTTCAAGCACAAAAAGGTTTATTTTTTCCCCTTTTCTTGAATATATACAGTCTCTTGGTAGCGAGAGGTTATACCACTGACCATCATATACAAGGGGCTGAAACAGGTTGTACAACAGGCAGTCGTGGCAAATGGGAAGTTTCAGTGCAAGCGAAAGGGGGAGACACTGAGAAGACATTTTCGGTGTTTATGCTCATAAAGCATACATACATGAATCTAAAATAAAGTCTCAAACAATGTAAAGATACATGTTACAGAGAACAGAAATCTCTTACTATAGATGTATTCTCCCCAGGCAGAAGACTGCGTCAAGTTCTACAAAATTCAATTCTAACAGAATTGACGGCATCATATTCAATGGTACCAACAAAATATTGCAGACAGTTCTTGAATGCTCAAAGTACAGTAGACTCATACAAATAACAGATGGGCAGCGCAAAACAGCTCCATCCCTTCAGCAGGCAGTTTAAAAATACCGCTGCCATATTGAGAGTGGCAAAGTGCAAGCAGTGTGCCTTCAGCTTTAGTACTGTGATTCTTTTGAGTGTGTGCCACTATATTCGTAGATGGGATTCTTCGCTCCTTTTCCACCAAAGGAACAAAGACTTGCCAACCTGCAAATAAAGAGTGGCTCTCGTGTGCCTTTAAGACTGACAGGTGAAGATGCAAATTCTACATACGGTAACATAAAGCGAATGTTAAGAAGGAAGGAAGCACAAGTCAAAGCCAATTCCATTTTCATGGAGAATACTTTTAAGCATTTGGTGGGCAGGCAGATCACATGCAAGGAGATTTCCGTACTTACAAAGATCTTACAATAACTTTGACCTGTCGTCCTAATGTCAAGAATTATGGTTAAGTACATTTCACACATGAAACATGCAAGGTTCCTAATGTAACTGAATTAGATGGTTCAGAAGATGGCAAAAAATGTTACAGTTGAATATCAGAGGGGGAAGAACATCTGCCTGCCAAATTTGCTCTTTGAAAGAAAAAGAGAGGTTGTCACTTGCAACTGCTTTTCCAGAAAGACCACATAACAATTGTTTTCCTCGAACACAGAGATACAACTTACATTCAGGCTCCTTCAATAACAACAAAGCGATTCATTTCATTACCCTTTACTCAAAGGGATGGAGCCCCAGTCAGAGAGCAGGTAACTATTTAAACTACCAAACACGCCATTGGTTAAATTAAAAGCATTTAACAGGAGAAAAGAAAACTGGTCCAGAATTTCGGATGTAAACTGTCACCATTAAATTTATACCTTTATATTTTTTGCAAATAAAAGAGTTAAGCTTTTCCCAAGCAGTTTGTAAATAAAGTACACCTTTCAGTTATTGTTATGATTATTTTAACCTTCCCAGTTTGAACTGAAAAGCTTGAATTCAAGGCACTATACTCCTGTAAGATCAGTACGGTTCTCCTACCCATCAATTCAAGTACGTTAGTGTTGAACATAGCTGTTTCAAACACCAGAGAAGAAAATCAATCGTCTTCGGCAACGAAGGAAAAGGAAGGATTGCCGAAGAGCACATAGATTGGTGGGAAAGCATTTCACCGGGCCGGCCTGAGGGGGGCATGGCTAATGAACTAGTGAGCCTGAACGGGGCCAGCAGGGAGAAACAGACTGCCTAGGAGCTAAGCACTGGACGGTTGCCATTTGGAAGTCAGCTACTGAGGTCATTCCAAATTAGGGCCTCTGCAGGGGCACTGGAAACAACTGGAAGCTATTGGGGCCAAGAGCTGGAAACTGTGCAATGCTCTGGCCTCCTCTCATCCCCGGCTGGGTGGTTGGGCCCGACCAGGGCACTCCAAAGAAGGTCGTAGGGAGAAGTCCTCCATACTGACCAAGAGGCATCACATAAGGATTGACTGGGCCAGTTAGGAGAGTACCTGGCTTAGGCACTGGCTGGGATGGTGGAACTCCAGAAGTTAATGCAGCTGACAGTGGACAAGTCACTGGAACAACACACTTTTTCCCCATTCCTGTTCTTGCTGCATTAACCTATAAAAGCAAACATAAGAAAGTGTAGCTGTAATTCTTGTTTCCTCTTTTACAGAGCAGTTCATAGAAATTATCATTGTCAACCCATCTCTTTAACCCTCTGTTTGGAGGATACATGCTGGACATGCTCCCTCCTGTGGCCGAAATGGCCAATAAGAGGATGAACGCACAACTCCTTCTCACGGTGGTGCTCTAACACAACCCCTTCTCATGTTATAAACACCAAGGGAATTCTAGCTGAATCCAATGCATTTTTAAGTAGGGCAAGACCCCTCCACCAAATAATCATCATTTCTCTCTGCAGGAACAGTTAACAAATGAATGTGACAAGTCACCACTTTCCTTAAAGCAACATCAGCTACGGCTATTTCTCCAGCGGTAGCTGATATTAGCTGGAGAACTTTTTTGTTATGCACATTTTAAAGAGCCAATGGCTAAATTTGGAAAACTAGTCATCTATAAAATGCTATAAAATGGAAAGTATGTTCCCAAAGCATCCAATTGTAGTAAGTAGTTAACCCTTTCCCTCCGTTTGTTAAGTAACTGCAATAACTTTAAAGTCTCTCCCTCAGATGTGTTTCTACCACTTGAATAGACATTTGCATACAGACACAGAGTTCTTCAGTCAGTTTCATATCCAGGCACAGCTAAACTAGATGAAAGAAATTTTGGATCACTGAGAGCAGCTGACATTTTGAGAACTATGAGGTTAAATATAGACCAAAGTATTGCTTGATTCCCCCTGGATCTGGTTAGCGGGGTTTAATTTCATAAACGATTTACAACTTTTGACAGTAATTCCATTAAGTTAACACCTACTCCTGAACAATCTTTCTTTGAGGCAAATCCCAGGGTCCGTAAGTATGAAATCAGATTGATAATTACACCCAGGGACTGACCATTCTTAAATTGGGAAAAGTACACAAGTACACAGATGAAAAGCAAAACATCTTAGGGAATGTAAACGTGTCTTCATTCTTGGCATATTTTCTAGAGGTAGTTCTCAACTTACAATCACAATTGAACCCAAAATTCCCATTGTTAAGCAAAGCTGGGTTGTTGTTGTTGTTTTGCCACAGTTGCTAAGTGAATCACTGAAATTAAGTGAATTGTGTAGTCTTTAAGTGAATCTGTCTTCCCCCATTGACTTTGCTTCTCAGAAGTCATCTGGGAAAGTTATAAATGGTGATCACATGCCTCTGGGAAAGTGCAACTGTCATAAACAGTGCTTTTTTTCTATAAAAAAAAAGGTGCCGGAATTCACACGTCATACAACCCACCTTGCCTACCCTACAAGGTTCCATCCAAAAAAGGTGCCGGAACTCCGTTCTGGGTGTTCTATGAGAAAAAAAGCCCTGGTCATAAATACATGTCAGTTGCCAAAGTGCCTGAATTTTGATCATGTGACCATGGGGATGCTGCAATGGTTGTGGGAAAACCAGCCATAAATCACTTTTTTCAGTGCTGTTGTAACTTTGGTCACTAAACAAATGGTTGTAAGTTGAGGACTACCTGTACATCCTACTGTATTCTGTAGAATTATTCTTGGGCTAGCAGCCATTTAACTTAATTGATTCCTAGATCAGGCTGACAAGCCAAAGCTCAATTCAAATTCCTGTGCAATATTGATTGTGTGAAATACTAATCTGAAAACATTATTTACTGGTGTCTTTCTTCTAAAACACTGCATGTTTTTATTCTGGGAATAAAGAGAATTTGCTCGAAAAGAATGGATTTTATTGTTGCTAAGAAAGAAAAAGCTGTTCCAATATAGTTGTCCCAACCCAAGATATCATGTCTTGCTAGTAGAACAAAGATAAATAATTTATAGTTCCATGGCCAATTTTTACTTTTTTTCAGAATACTCCATAATCCAGGCAGAGGTTCTGGAATAGGAAATAGGTTTGTTTCTGACTAACATTAAGTTGAAGAAGTAAATCAAATCTGCAGAATAATGTGCTGTTTCTCTCTCTCGATTCTTTAACCAAGGGAAATACCAATAGTTGTTATCTGAGGAATATTCATTATTAAATATTCAATATTGCAGAATAACAACGTGTATGATCTGCAGCAAAGTATAAAAACAGGGGTGCCACAGAAATGAACATATGGTCAGAACATAATTGCTATTTCACTATATTTACTATTGTGGCCTTGTAACATATTTGGAAAAGCTGTTTAAGGACAGATAAAGTTGTTTTGCAGAATGGATTTGGCTCAGGACACTTCATTTAGGCAGAGGGGCCTGCCCTTTATGCCACAATTGTTCATATGAGTCTTTCCCCAACCTTGGTGCCCATTAGATACATAAACTTCATTAGCTTAAAATTCTAGCAGAGTCTGGTCTTAGTTAATTAGCCTCAATCTGTAAAAAAATCATTTTAAAAGAAGTTATATCTATACAGGTAGTCCTCTCTTAGCAATAATTGGGACTGGAATTTCTGTCACTAAACAACACAGTTATAAAACCCCTCATATGACGAGTTGCTTAGCAATGAAAATTCTGGCACTTACCGTTGCTATTATTAGGCAAATCCCACAATGCCATTAAGTTCGATGTCATGTGGTCGCCATTTTCAATCTTCTGCCAGCTTCCCCATTGAAGTTGGCAAAGGAGGTTGCAAATGGCAGTCACATGACTATGGGGATACTGCGATTGACATAGTTGAATGGTCTCTGAACAAGTGGTTATTAAGCAAGGACCACATGTATAAATAGTTTTGCAATTGTGGAGTAAGATATGACTGTGACCATCACATATCTGGGCACTAAACTGACACAATCTTGATGATATGTGGTTATTGTATATACACATTATATGAAACCTCATTTGATTTTTTTCAGAACTTCTTTGTTGATTGATTTGCAAAGAATTATTCCAGAAAATTCAGAGCTAAAGAAAAATATAACTAATTTATGATACTGGGGGGAAAATCATCCAGGATATGAAGAAACATTGAGAGATTTGCTGGCTTCAAGCTTCATTCTTTATGACATCACCCACTAGGACACTCAATCACATTTTTATATCACACAGTACCGTGTAGATGGCTTTTCATTGGAGACTACTATCTATGGAATGGAAAATTGTGTTTTGATTATTTTCAGCCATTATTCCTCATTTGCAATGGTTGGGCCACTACCCATGCTGATTTGTTTGAGTCTCCATTTTAAGAACACATTACATCATAGGAGGAAGGGAAATTACTGTTTTCCCATTTTTACTCATAGCTTTTAAATGCAGATTAATGCCAATTAAATTCCACCAACATTTCCAATGCTTTGTTGTACTGGTAAAGCAACTGAATAAATGAGCAAGCCACATGAAGTACCATTGTACAATATATATGATTAATTTCCACAATAATGGAATTATCAAACACAAGAGTCTTCATCAGATATGTATAGTGAAAAAGAGAAACGTTGAAAGATAAAATATTTCAGACTAAAATATATAGTGACTGAACAGTATTTTGCAAGGTATTAGCCAAATCAGAGGATTTAGGAAAGATATGGATTTTAAAAAAGATAAAGAGAAAATGCTCAAAAGCTCTTAGATCATAAGAAAGTAGAAAGGCCTAGGTAACAGAAGTCTGAGGAAATAAAAAGAGATTTTTAAAAAGCCAGAAAGTTAAAAAGGCACGAGAGAGAAGAAAAGATCAAGATACTTAACTGGACTGCGAAGGAAGAAGGTTCGAAGACTAGAAAAATAAAATAGCTACTTGAAAAGATGAAATAAATCTGGGTTTCATATTTATTAGTTCAGGGACTCAAGAATTGCAGTTGAGGAACTTATTGTGGAAGAGACAAGGTAGAATTGCTCAGTTTTTTTTTCCAAAGTCAGGACAAGAAGAGAGTTTAAATGATAAGGAAGTAAATTTTGGTTGGACATCAGGGAAAATATTTTAACAGCAAGAACTAATTTTTAAAGAGTAAATAGACAGCCTTGGAAGGGTATAAACTCCTTCAGGACAGGTGTTTAGACAGAGGCTGGATGGCTAGCTGTTAGGGATGCCAAAGGAGCAGATTCTTGTATTGGGAGAACATTGGAAGAAATGCCCTCCAAGATCCCTTCCAATCCTTCTGTGATCAATTTGGGTTATCTTTAATAGGATTTTTCACTGTTTTTCCAACATTTGCACTATTTTTGTTTTACTTTTTATTGTTGGCTCCTTGAGCTAGAAAGCCAGGTATGGAAAAATAAAAATGAATGAATTAAGGCCTTTACAGCATCCTGAGTTTTAATTTTTGAATCTTTATGCCTAAAGATCTTGGTAGCCAGATTTTATATTAACCACGATTCTTCTTTCAGATACAGGAAGACAATGATATAAAAATGCTGGAAACTACTTATGGATGAACTTTATTTTTCAACTTATACCTGAATTAATAGAACTAGAATTGTGCTACCAAGTGTGTTTAAATTTTGTAGAAATCAGCTGAGCATAAACATTCTTATTTTTTTTCTGGCTTACATTCGGAAGCCACCATCAGTGGTCAGGACTCAAGGTCTGCAAAGGTATTGAATATGGACTTCTGCATTCATATATGTATCTACAGTATTTACAGTATCATCTAGTCCAACCCCCTGCTGAGGCAGGAAACCCTCTACCATTTCAGACAAATGGTTGTCCAATCTCTTCTTAAAAATTCCAGTGTTGGAGCACCCACAACTTCTGGAGGCAAGTCTTTCCACTGATTGTTTTATTTTGCTCACTTAATCCATTCTGAACACTATGCTCCCATTCAAAATTCTAAATGTTACTTGAATATTATGCTGCTCATAAGATAATACAGGTAGTCCCCACTTACTGATCAGTATTCATCCACCATTTAAAATTAGGATAGCAATGAACAAGGAAACTTATGATTGGTCCTCAAAGTTGTGGGCATTGTACCATCCCATTACAATTCAGGCAGTTGGCAACCAGCACACATTTATGACAGTCACAGAGTCTCATGGTCATGATTGCCATTTGCAATCTTTACAGCTGGCTTCCCAAAAGCAAAATCAATAGGAAATCACAAGTCATGGTCTTGAGACATTGCCCTTAATAACTTATTGTGATTCACTTAATTACTGCAGCCAGAATTGATGTTATAAATCTGTGTGGTCATGTGACTTTTCACCTTACAACCTTGTCACTTAGCAATGGAGTTTCTGGTCCCACAGTTCATAAGTGTGGACTACAGGTACCTGTACACCCAAACCACTGAATTGCTACAAGCCTGTAGTTTACTTTGCATTTATTTTTTTTCTCCATCTTTAAGTCATGGAAGTCTGTATCTTACCCAACTTGCAACACTCAGGGTGTGCGTACACACTCATATTATGTAGTTATATTTTGTTTACATTTATCCATCAATCAAGGAAATAGCCTCCAGTAGTTCAAAATTCTATTTTCTTACTTTTTTGTTCCAACAGGTATTACTTATCAGTTTAAGCAATATTAGAGAAAGGTCCTCATATGAACTCATGAGCTATTAATTATATTCTACACATATCCATTAGATGGAAAGAACAGTGAGCTATTGTAGCCCCCTTTGTGCACGACTGATGTCAAAAACAAAAGAGCACATCTTTGTTGGCTGCTCATGCTTTTCAGCCAGGTTGAGAAATCATGTCCTTTATTACAAGAGTTCCTGGTGAAAAACAAGCAAAGAAAAGTAAATTCTGTTTAGGCATGGGGTCGGGGAGGGGGGAGGAAGTGTGAGCTATACTGCTTATATTGTTTTGGATATCAAATAAAACAGGACAAGAGAATTCTTGTAAGATTTTATGAAACTGATCCAAGAGTCACCGGCTTTTTCAAGTAAAATATACAAAGTTTTTTTTTTCTTAGAGAAAAGGATGATGCTAAAAGGAACGGAGCTGTTTGTTGAATAAAAATAACACGTGTAGTATTTATAGTGTATGGTAAGGAAAAAAATAGTACATTTGCACTGAAACAGCATGCATTCAACTTTCGTGATTAGATTTGTTTGCACAGCAATTATGTATACATATATATTGTAAGAATGTACAAAACCTGGTAATAAAAATTCTGTCTCCCTCAAGTACAGTACTTTTCAGCCTTTTCCTTTTCTTAGATCTCACCAGAATATACAGACATTCTTTGGAAATGCTTGGCACCACTTTATCAAAATCCTGACTGTATCAGGTGAGTACGTAAATGTGAGGGACTGGTTCAATTGCAACGATGGTTGCTGAAGTGTTACCCTCGGTTGGGCCAAGGCTTGGGAAGTACAAGTCTACTTCTTCCATTTAATTAGTTGACTGACAATGGAATAAAAACAATCATATAGAGAACTCTCTATTAGGGGGCTTCACAACTTTAAGAACCTTTGTGTTATTATAGTGTTTTTGTACTGACTAATCTCCTAGACATGTATGTATTGTTGCTTCAGAGCTGTAACAAAACAATAATGTCATCACATGTACTTTTTGTTTTCAGAAATGGAAGCTGTGTAGTATTCAAAAAGAGCATTGTCCATAATCAGATACCTATTTGCAGTAACCAGATAGAAAATATATATAAGTTTCTGGGAACTTTTCTTGTTGCTGAGGCAGACCCTGCCATTTGGCTCCATCCTTTTTCTATTCTCCATCAACAGTACAATCTATATCTTTTAATATGAAATATTAGAAGTCTGCAAAGTCACTACTATGCAAATGAAATTTTTAATTAAAAATATGATTTAAAGAAATGTTTAAGTGTACTTGTTTCCTATGAATTTAATTGTTTTAATGAAAAGCGCCTAGCTCCTCATGGATAAATATGAATACATCCCTCTCCTTCCAATGCCATTGTTTTCTGTTATTATAACTTAACAGAAAAGTTATTTACTGCTTTTTAGATTCTGTGGAAGTAAAAAAAAAAAAGCAACGATAATCTGCCAAGGGAATCCAAGACTAAAGAATAAATTCTAGCAAGGTAGCTTAAGCAAACCACTTGATACTTTATAAACAACACTCATTAGATGTTTCTCCTCCTTTTCAAATATATTAAGATTCTTCTCTCATGCATCTCCTCCATGGAACAGAAAATATACAAATTTCTGCATAAATACAAATAAATAAATAAATAAATACACTGCCCTGATTCAATGGCCCTGGCACATTATTTATGACTTGGTCAATCCAGATGTTTACAGTGCTGCCAGTAAAGAGTGCTTGCCCCATTCTTATATGCTAAAGAGGATGGATCTAATTTATATTCTATTTCAAATGCCACCAAACTTCAAAAAGTATTGGAGCAGCCTTGCTTGCAATAACTGTGTTTGAATTCTGTAGGCAGAAAGAAGAGAATGGGATGATAATTGGTTCAAGCCATAATATTATGGCTCTAGTTTTGCATATATGTTTATTTTACATGAATTCAGGGACAGATGTGTTTGAAAATGATAAGCTAAAGCACTGAAAATGGATAATGGAAGTATGGTGAAGTGAATACATTATACCCATCTTTTACTTTAAGCCACTCTGGTATATTTAAATATATTTCTTTATATGAAATGTTATGCATTTATTCAACTCAAAGTGATCATTTACAATGACATCTGAAGCTTTTTGTTAAGAAGTCCCTACTGTATTCAGTCAGACTTGATAGGTATTCATTCATAAGTAAAAAAAAATCAAGCCACTGAACTAAGGGGACTTACTTTTGAATAAATTTATGTAGAATCATATTAACAGTTGTCACTACTCTGTTCTAAAGTTGGACTATTGGCAGAGTCACTTGCAAAATCCACTAACTACTGTCAATACACCAACTATGGAATTAATGATACTTTTTGGGAAAAATACATAAAATAAACTTCATTGATGTTGATTGAAATTATTTAAGACAGGCAATATTTGATTACCAGTGAACATATTGCTGTGTATAAACTATTTCCACAATTTTCAATTTGCAAAAAGTTATATACTGAACCATACATATATCGTCAAGCTCAAGTCCAAGTTGATAAAAAAAATTCTTAAGTTATTTTTAGCAGTCAATGAATTGAAATGGATTTTATATGGAATATGCTTTTTTTGAAAAGCTTATGTCCTCCTCCAAACATCAGTTTTGCAATGGCTTTCAGACCCAAAGTAAAACGTAATGCTCTTCAAGGAGTGCCACTTACTCCACAAGTCTCATTCTGTGTCTGCATGGGATTAGCCTTGGGCTCCATGTCTTGCCGTTTTTGATTCTGTTTAAGTTGGTTTAAGGATGGCTTTGCTTGCACAGCTCCCACAGTTTTGCTTGTCCATTGATCCACCAATTTGTGGAGATCATCTGTGAAGGTTCCTTTCTTGTTGTTACTGTTGTTGGCTTGTACCTGAACCTGTATTGTTGTTTGTGGCAGAGGATCTGGGTATGCTACAAGGCTGTTTGTTGAGGATCCTAAGATATCATGGAAAGGTAAGAATCAATTATATGCATATATAAAAACATATTTTTTTTCTTTTCAGTATATTTATTACAATTCATGGTGTTTCTGAAATTGCTATATGTTTAATCAATTGGCTGCTTCTTCTGAAGAACATTTTTTTGCTTCAAAAATGGTCTTCCAGTAGCATAAACACATGTTTAAATATGTGTTCAGAGGGATTTTAGTTTTGTTATTCAGAGTATTAGTTTAGCCTAGGATAAATTAAATCTTCTTTCCTCACAGAAGCCTGTTTATTTTTCTTGAGTCATAATTGGATAAAAAAACCCTATCTTTGCAGCCATTAAAATTTTTATATTTCTGCAGAATTCACAAGTACCGCCTTACTCTATTCTGAAATGAAATGCAGTTTAAAGATTTTACTAATCTTTTCCTTGTTTAAAAAAATTCAGTTTTGAGATGGTAGTAATGAATGACACAAGTGGTCATAATCTGAAAGACTATAAACATGGTAAGTAAATATATTCAATCTAATTATAAAAATATTTATACATATATCCTGAAACTGGGACGACTGTTGTTGATACCATTACTCAAAGTATTTTGCGATAGAGGCATTAAAACCAATTAAGTAGCAAAGTGAAATAAAGCAGTATTGACAATTGACTGATGAGTCTGAAATAAATTTTTTTTCCAATTATCTCAAAAACATGTATCCTAATTTCAAAATGACCAAAATTTGAAGCAGAAAAGTTCAAAGTTGCATTGAAATGGTATCACATCCAATAAACTAACATACTAAATGACTATTTCTGCATTATGAATTTGCAGAGAACACAAGCAACACTATTAGTATTTGTTTTACTTACATAAAGCCTTATGCCTTTCTTTAAAACTTCTCATGCATTGAACTAATGTGAATTCTTATGCTCCTTGAAAAATAGGACAGTGAAAGTGCTCCCCCCAGTTTATACTTCAGTCACTGTTCAGTACTTCAAGCATTTCAACAGAGAGGAACTATTGAACTGTATTAGTCAGCCAGCCACAAAAGAACATTATAAGGAAGCCGAGTTAATTAGCAAGCATATGACTCAGCTTTATCTTATTAAAATACACATGTACATACTGAAATTATGATGATCTTGCAACAGGCATGCACCCAAAAATAGCACGAACATGCAAAGCTATGTTTAATTCATAAGCAGCATAATTTAAATGCCATCATCAATGCAGTCTGCCGTTAAATAAACCACTAGATTATATTTAAACAAAGCAGCCCATGCTCAAAAATAAATACCAAAAAGCCAAAAATAAAAGAGAGAGGGATAGTTACTACTACTGTGATCTTTGCCTAGACATAGTCGTTTCAGGGTGGACCCTACAAGGTAAAATGATACAAGATATATAGAGTTAGGTAAGACTAAAAAGGGAAAAATGAAAGAGTCTGATGGACAGTCTTCTGTATTTTTAAACAATAAAAATAACCATTATGCAAGAAGGAACAGACAGAAAGTCAGCAGTTCAGGTGTAAAAGAAGAAATAATGGGGCTGCTCAAAGCCTATAGAAATTTACTGCTATGAAAATAAAACATTGCAGAAGTTTTAATTGGCTCCTACAATTTTCGTTACATAGAATAGTATTTCTAATCAATGTTGCTTCTGAATCAGATCCTATTCTGTGTGCACAGTAAATGGAATACCTCTGATTTCTCTCAGTTAATTATAAAAATAAGAATAGACTGGTAGCAAGAACTTCCTATTTCAGGTTTTAGATCGAGTTCTGCAGAACTAAGGCCCATCAAATTGAAAGTATATATTGAAATGCAAGACAATGAATTGCTTTATCTTGATCTTATCATCAAACTGCATTTGGACCCTTACAGCTCTACTGTATAGGAGATGGCATTTCCTATAATTCTTTATTATTTGATGAGATGGATAGAAAAATCCTACTGCTTAGTTAAGAATACTCAGTTGAATCAAATGCAGTGTTAACAACAGGCTAAAAAGACAAAATAAGGAGATCTATTTATTCTGACAGAAAGTCAGCAGGAAGGTTATTAATTGGTCTAGCTCTAGATGGCTTATTTTTTTCTTTTTTATTTATCTAAACCTACCTATTTTGCCTTTGTAATATTGCAGTGGTGTCACAGGGGGTTATTCAATGTTAGGTGCAGGTTGGTACCTCACAACCGTCTATCATCATTAATCAGGTGGTTCCTAATATGGTAGAATGATTATCTATCTTTTCATGCAAACACAATCCAAGTCATTCCAAAGTTTGACAGTAATGCATGTATACATGTGTGTACATGTCTATACTTATTTACTCCAATGGCATTGATCAGTTTGAGTGTTACATGGGCCAATCTTTCAAATAGAAAGAAAACCACATGTTTCACCTCACCAAGCCTTGTGCTGAATATTTATTTTAATTTTAGCCAAGGGAGAGACCTTCATTGTGATACCATCACACAAATGCCATGACCTAAGTATTAAAATGTCAGGATGCAAGTACATATCAGCTGCATTTATATTGTATCTCCCCAGCTGTTTTGTCATTTTTGGCGTTGTCATCTTTTACCATAGATGCTGCTGGCTTGTTATACTGTCTACATTCAATCTCTCTATTGGTAACTCTCAATCATGTAGGAATAGCAGACTCCATAATGTTTGTGCACATCAACAAAGTACTTATTTTAGTGCCAGAACAATAAAATCTGATTATAGATTAATGGATGTCTGCTGATATGGAACATGAATTGGGTCTAGCTCCAAAATAATAATTGTACATTAGTTATTTATACTTCATGTGGGAATCAAAATATGGTAAAGAAATAACATGAATAATACTTTCATAATGAACATATGATTAGATATAATTCCTTTCTTTCCATAGTAATCTCTCAAAAGAAGGTCAGTTTATATCTCTCCTTCCTTCCTTCCTTCCTTCCTTCCTTCCTTCCTTCCTTCCTTCCTTCCTTCCTTCCTTCCTTCCCTTCCCTTCCCTTTTCTTTCCTATGCTATGCTATGCTATGCTATGCTATGCTATGCTATGCTATGCTATGCTATGCTATGCTATGCTATGCTATGCTATCCTTCCTTCCTTCCTTCCTTCCTTCCTTCCTTCCTTCCTTCCTTCCTTCCTTCCTTCCTTCCTTCCTTCCTTCCTTCCTTCCTTCCTTCCTTCCGATAAATATGACTGAACTCTTTGGTTTTAGTTGGGACCCTTTTGGAAAAAGGATCAAAGTGAGTGATAAGACCATGCCTAAATTTAACATATTTTCCTATGTATTAGTTTTTCAGTGGTCTCTTCTGAGAATTTCCTTGTAGTAACCATATGCAAATGCATTTTTGTTTATATACAAGATAGTAAATCCTTAACCATCTTATTGATTAAATAAGTAACCATCTACACAATCTAGTACGTTTGTACTTTGCATGGTCTTTAAAGTTAGTACTATACAACAATTTAGTTTTAAGAGACCATATAGCCGAGATGCCCATATAATTAGATTTTAAGTTTATAATTACAATGAATATTCCCAAGCATTATATACAGATTTAAATACTATTTTTTTTAAAAGAGAACAGTTTCTATTCAAACTACTATAAATTAAGTATTTTTTCTAGAAATGTGTTTCCAGATTTTAAGAGATTTCAATGCATTATGTGCAATTTTGGTTTCAACTTTCTAAAGTAACCTACAGAATTATATTCCCTTTACATGTGCCCATAAAGTGTAAGAAAAATACTGTCATGATTTTGCTGGTTCATCAGATGTCAATTGGTATCCCATCCCAATAAAATTCAGTGAGTCATTTTGTACCACATAAAGCAATTTCACAGCTTAGGGGTAAAAGTTAATCTCTGAGTATTTTCCTATAATCTCTGAGATATTTACTAAGAACTGGAAGACTCCTATGAATTACAAGATGAATAGAATACACGTAGTCCTCAACCTACGACCACAAATGAGCCAAAGATTTCTGTTGTTAAGTGAGACAGGTGAATTTTGTCCCATTTTACAATCTTTCTTGCCACAGTTGTTAAGTTAGTAACATGGCTGTTAAGTGAATCTGGCTTCCCCATTAACTTTGCTCATCAGAAAGTCGCAAAAAGTAGTCACATGATTCCAGGACTCTGCAGCCGTAATAAATATGAGTTAGTTGCCAAGCATCTGAATTTTGATTACGTGGCCATGGGGATGCTGCAATGGTCATAAGTGTGAAAAATGGTCATAAATCACTTTTTTCAGTACCACTGTTAACTTCAAACAGTCACCAAATGAACTGTTGTAAGTCGAGGACTATCTGTAAAACAGTTCCTCACCTATCTTTGACCATATTGGTCTACAAACCCAATGCAATTAATAACATTGGTAGCATAACATTAACAATTGCTCTGTAGAGCTTAGCTGTCAAAAACAACTGAATATTTCATTCTGAACATACTTATCCTGGAAAGAGCCTTATATTGAGCCAAATCATTGGCTCCTTTCAGCCAATATGGTAGATGGTGAATAAATGCCCAACTGTTAATAGCAATTAGCACTAATTGTCCCAGGTTTTAGGGAAGATTTTTTTCCAGTTTTCCTTGCAATTGCCAAACCCTGAACTTGGATCTTCTGCATATATATCATGCATGTAGTACCACACAGAACTACCAAATAATCCAAGAATATTAGATTTTTTTATCTTGAAATTATAACTGAATTTTAATATTATTGTTTTCATATACAAAGATGTTTATGAATACTAAAAACACTTTCATTGTTAAGTCTAAAAATGTGGACATTATTTTATTGAAAATAGAGAGCAAGAAGGATGAATTTTAAGTAGCTTTGTGCCTTTGATTTGTACCCCTGTAATAATGATAGAGATGTATAGTTCCAATGATAAAACTTTGATGAAAATGAATACTGAATTTGCTGAATGTTAACTCAATATAAATATCTCTGTATAGTGGCACTATTTTATCTTACTTGTAACTATGGCTTAGATTTTTCTCATTAGTACAATATAGTCTTATTGTACCAAAATATCCCAAAGTATTTTGCCTTATAATAAGCATTTGTTTTACAAAAACAAACTTAAAAATAAATATTTGTGACAACTGGTTGAATAGCCAATTCGTATAATCATACAATCAAGAACAGTCTAGTTTTAGTTGCATCTGGACAGGATATCAATAGACTATTCTGAGAATGGCATTAGGAATTTTAATTTATTCTGTGCTTTGATGAACTGCTTGTTGACTTCATCTCTGAGGTCACATAAGGTCATAAGAAAAATTAACTGAGTAAAGTGCTCCAGCTAGATGAATGTCTAATAAAAGCCATATTGTATTTTGTGATAACCAAACAATCACATTAAAGAAAATTCATTTAAAGTAACCCAAAAGTACAGAATGTGGGGGAAAATGCTGCCTAGAAAAGATGGTGTTAAAGAGCTAGCAGGAGCATTTCTCAGCATTTCTACATGCAAGGGAGAGGAGAAATAACATAATAATAACAACAATAACAACAACAACAAAGTGGATATAAACAGTACTGTATATTGTTTGAATACAGCCCTTGTGCAGACGTTCTACCCTTCAGTGACCTTCTAGAATAGTATCAGCTTGCTACATGCATGTCTTCATAGTCCAAAGCATGTGTGAAAGAGACCATTCGTCTACAGAAGCCTGGGTTTCGATTTGGTATCACCGGAATCAGGACAGCAGACATTTACAATTGTCACATTGCAAATTAAAAATTACTTCAACGCAAAAAATCACATAAAAGATATGTCCAAGATAAGAATTTACCATAAGACCATAGAATAAATTGATGAGATCTTCCACACATGCTTTTGATACCCAGGCATGAGCCAAAAGCAGTGTTCAAAAGCTTTCCATATGAAACAAAATAAATTAAATTAAGATGATTACTTTAAAAAAAGGGAGGGGGGGAGTGATTGTCTACAAGAAGGGGCTTCCTGCCAAGCATATTAGATAAATCGATAAAAAATGAGTTTTGAAAAAGATGATAAAAGAAAGATGGGCTGTGATAAAATACAAAAGAACAAATACAAACAGATGGACAAAGACACAGGTCCACTGAGGAATCTGGTACGAGGTTTGCTACTAGATTTATAGGTCACTCTCTCAGACGTTTGGTGGAAAACCGTCCAGCCTGCAAATGAATATAAAGGGAAGAAAACAAAGACACTTATAAAGTACAAATAGCTGCGATTAGATGTCACCATCAGTCATATCAGCTTTGTTAGTTAATCATCCACACCTCCATTTTAACCTTGCCCCAGAGGAGTAAGTTCATGGGCTATAAGCAAAAGGGTGTGAAAACAACAGCAGAAGAAAATAGATACTTTATAGGATTAGTTGGGCAGAACATTCAAACCAGAGGTGACCATTTATAATCATCCTGACCCTTTGCAGCAGTGTAAGGGCTCTACTACTACCACACCACAATGAAACTAGGCCATGAGAGGTAACACTGCTACTACTGAATGTAGTAATCGTCTAATGAAGCCAAAATTGATGCCATGTGATTAAAGAGTAATTATTTCTAAATTTCATTTTGCAGGCCAGTAATACAGTTTAATCCAAAAAAATTCTGCATATGCAGGAAAGGATGGGGACTTAAGAGAACCAAAGAATATGAAGCGAGATAAAGAGTAGTCGGCTTCCGATTGTGAATCATTTCAATCAACAATGGACAATTTTACTGATCTTTTTTTTTAAGTGCTCTATGCTCTACTGGTTAACATTAACTGTATTTTGTATTTATACTCTACTAATTTTCCTCTCATGGCTCATTTTCAAAATGAACACTAGCAGGTTAGACATCTATCCCTTGCACGGTCAGTGAAATTGCTATTAGATTTACATCAGTAACTTTTCTAGTTGTATCGCTGTTAGCATCATTTCTACAGGCTTTGAATCAATGTGCTGAGCAGATGTTTCTTGGTGAGGTTGGGGCTGGACATTCTCCCTAGCTAAACCTACCTCACAGGTTGTTTTTGTGAGGAAAAATTGGAGCATGGAGTGCTATATGTACCACCATGAGGTCCTGGAGGAAAGGTGGTTTAGAAATCTAATCAGTAAAGCAAGTAAAAAGAAAGCCTTAAACTTCCTTTTCTCACTTTAACACATATTTTTGTTCCCCTGTGGAAAAATGACTGTTTTAAGCATTGAATAAAAGATGACTCTGAAGATATAAAATCACCTTGGCCAGAATTTCCACGGACATCACCTCCTTCAGAAGCTACTCCAGAGCAAATATCAGAGGACAATGAAGCCTTGACAGAACAAGGTTGCTGAGTCTGAACTGAGCTCTCAAGTATGGCTGATGTGGACACAGTCAGTCCGGTTGCTTCAGTAGAGTCTGTTAGAGCTCTAGTGCTTCCCTTAACCAAAGGGTCTTTATGCTCTGATATATTGCCTAAACAGGATGTATGCAAAAATCATTAAGCTTGGAAGCAATAAGAGAATCTGAAACCATTATCTGAAGAAAACTTAAAATATTCTGAAGATTTTTTAATTGACCAAAATCCATTGCTGATACATGCTCAGAAAACCAGTTTCAGAGAATTAACCATTTCTGTAAATTCTCATTATATATAAAAATCAACAATGGCTATAGTTTACAATTTTTATCCATAGTGTAGCATCAATGTCTCCAATGTGATGTTCGCAGACACTAATGTTGGTCTCCATCAAGTCCATGCTTCACCTAATTTTATTTATCTTGATTATTTTAATGTTTAAAGAATGAAAGGAAAAGCTTTCATACTGCCAAGTGATGCACCAATCTCAAGAACCATCCTTGTTTCTTAACAATGTTTCGGACAATGTAAATAAAAGAGGAATAATCACATAAAGTAAAAATGAAAGGAACTTACACCAACTGTTTAATATGGTTCAACCTAATTTAATTCCCTTCCCCATGAAAACTAAGGACAAATAAAGCCAACCTATAGATCTTTACCCCCTTTCCTTTGATTGAACAATACAATTGCAAAAAACAAAAACAAAATCCTAAGAAAATAATCGACAATTTGAAATTTTCACTGGATGTATGTTAAAAGGAAAATATCACTTTTAAACATACTTGTACTTGATGTTTTGAGCTGCTGGATAACGGGGTTTAGCAATTTCCCAGTTTTTAATTTGTGCTTGCTTGTTCTTCTTCGGCGGCCACTTGGTGGAGCAGAATGAAGAAATCCGACATTGGGTGGTAGTGGTTTTCCCAGACGAAGGTACAAAGTTTCTATTTCTTTTTTCTGTTGGGACTGCAACTCAGCAATTTCCTTCATGTGTCTGAAGAATAAACATGAAAACACTGAAAGAAAGTAACTCTTAAATTAAGACATCTCTATTTCTAAGAACTCTATTTCTAAGAAAATGTCTTAGGATATGCATTTTTATTACATCATTATCAAATATTTTTTAAAAAAATTACAGTGCAGGACATAAATTTCAAAATGAAAATTGGTGGCTCCCACCATGGATTATGGTTCAAATATGAAAACCATCTCTATGATGAAAAAGGTACATTTATGCAAGCTTATGAATCATTCAGGAACAGTGAAGACGCCAGCATATATATTTTAAGGAGTTGCATGATCAAAACAATGAGAACAGCAAATTGTTTTGACAGCCAAGTGCTAAATATAGTGAAAGGACCATCATGAAAAAGCAAAAAGATTCAAAAAAAGAAGGCTCCACTATACAGAATATAAAATAAACCAAACAGTATAGAGAGGTTTTTGATAGGGGAACCAGAAGAATAATCTATCTATAAATTTATTTGTTAAAAAGGTAGTAATAGGATAGGAGAAAATGCAATAGTTACAAAGAAATGACTACTTCATTCAAATGCAATATGGTCAATGAATAAGGAATAAAGAAACTCAGAAAAAAAGAGTTTGAAACCCTGAAAAACTGAAACAAGAACCAGAAGACTGGAGATTTTTGAATTTGGCCGAGAATACTGATGATTTTGTTTCAAGCATTAGTAGGGGATGTCCTCTCATCAAGAGGCAGTACTTTGATTGGGTTCAGAAGCTAAATGGGTAGTACTTAGATGAAAAATCCAAAGGTAATATGAAGGCTGTAAGCTAGACTGTGAAGTCCCAGGCTTGTATACTACCATCTCCAAAGAAAATCACTTCTGTATTGCTGCTAAGAAAACTATGTGGCCATCAGCAGTCCAGTTCAACTCAAAGGAGACTTTGCCATTAAAGGCAAATAATAAATAATAGTAATAATTTATCAATGTTAAATTAAATTAAAATTTATTAAAATTGAGAAAGATTAAAGAACCAGTACAGTACAGCTGAGTAAATCAAAACTTTTGCTATGCTTGGATGTCTGAAAATACAAATGAACTGAAATTCTACTAACGAAAGTTGAAGAGCACGGTGAAAAAAATAGGACTACAATTAAAAATAGGCAAGTCAAGATGAATGGTAATAGGTCCAGCAACCAATTTAAAAAATGACACTAAAGATAGCATTTACCATTTAGGATCAACTATCAACAATTAACAGTAAAGAAACCAGCAATCAAGCATTAACAGAGGAATAGAATCAAGATCACGTGAAGTATTAATACCACTTTACAATGCCTTGGTAAGGCCACACTTGGAATACTGCATCCAGTTTTGGTCACCACGATGTAAAAAAAGATGTTGAGACTCTAGAAAGAGTACAGAGAAGAGCAACAAAGATGATTAGAGGACTGGAAGCTAAAACATATAAGGAACAGTTGCTGGAATTGGGTATGTGTAGTCTAATGAAGAGAAGGATGAGGGGGGACATGATAGCAGTGTTCCAATATCTCAGGGGCTGCCACAAAGAAGAGGGAGTCAAGCTACTCTCCAAAGTGCCTGAAGGCAAGACAAGAAGCAACAGATGGAAACTAATCAAGGAGAGAAGCAACCTAGAACTAAGGAGAAGCTTCCTGACAGTTAGAACAATTAACCAGTGGAACAACCTGCCTCCAGAAGCGGTGAATGCTCCAACACTGTAAGTTTTTAAGAAGAGACTGGACAGCCATTTGTCCGAAATGGTATAGGGTTTCCTGCCTGAGCAGGGGGTTGGCCTAGATGACCTCCAAGGTCCATTCCAACTTTATTATTATTATTATTATTATTATTATTATTATTATTATTATTATTATTATTATTATTATTATTATTATTATTATCATCATCATCATTATCATCATTATCATCGTCATTGTTGTTGTTTATTTATTTATTTATTTATTTTATTTATTTAATTTAATTTATATGCCGCCCTTCTCCCGACAGGGACTCAGGGCGGCGCACAACATATTTAAAACCAAAACATATATACAATCCCCCCCTTAAAACCGAATTAAACCGAATTTTAATGTTGCGTCTTCCGAATATTTAAAACCCAATGTAAAATCCACCCTAGGTCAGGTCCGCTTGCTGGAAGAGCC